GTTTACGATGAGCGTAACACACTGTAAAGCATCGTATATGATTGCCGTAAACGGTCACTGTAAACGACTGCCGTTTGCGATATCTTACGATTTATCCGAGCGTCGTTTACTGTCGCCGTATTTCTACGGTTGTCGTAAAGGGCGAACGTTTACGGTCATTGTTTACGATTAACGTAATACGCCGTAAAACATCGTATATGACTGTCGTAAACAGTCACTGTAAATTGCTGTCGTTTTTCGCCGTAAATGATTGGTGTACGGCCGGGCATGAACGACCTGGGTAGCATCCATATAGACAAATGCAGATGTTTTGTGGCTGAATCTCAAGAGATAATAATTGTGAAAATTGAATTGAGGATGATCTAGTACAGAGTTGTAACCGGACCGGCAGATCGACCGGTCCGTTCCGTTCCGGTCCGGTCCGGTCCGGTAGAAGATTTCTTACCGGCCCGGTCTGAATTTTCCCCTATTTTTTTCCGAAAAAATGATCAAAAAGGTGGTTTTTTTCGAAAATCAAAAACTTTTTACTAATGTCGAAGACTATTTTGGTAAAAAAAATTGTATCAAACTATCCTATTGAGTCAAAATTTGTCATGGATGTTTTTATATTTATCCAATCCATGTAGGTACGACGTTCCGCCCGTATAGTTCAAGGAACGACATTTTATCATTTAAAACAGTTTTTATTGGCCAAAACTATCGTTTATCATACCTAAACGGTGTTTCAAAAAATAAAATAGCTGGATATTGACCTTCGTAAACAGCACAGAAATGTTATTATGTGTATATAAGCTCAAATGCATACAGAAACGTTTCCGTAGCGTTTACGAAGATCAATTTCCAGCTATTTTCTGTTTTGAAACGACGTTTAGGTATGATAAACGATAGTTTTGGTCAATAAAAACTATTTTAACCGACAAAGTGTCGTTTCCTGAACCACATCGGTGTTGTTCAAATAAAATCAAATGATTAATTGTTTAGCATTGTAGTTTATCATGGATTTATATTTCCTATTATTTATTACATATAGTTCTCACAGACACGAAAGATGACAAAGCGAGTATAGCATACGAGGTAGATTAAGCATACGAGCAATAAATAGAGCCCATATTTGATGAATAGTTAATCAAAGTGCAAAATTAACATAGAATTTATGGTCGTATGAACTTTTGTGCTCACCAACAGATATCGAGAAACAGGACTCATATGAAAGCAAATAGTAAAAAGCACTGCAGTGGCGAAATAGTACTTTTATATCATAGTTGTATTGATTAGAAGAAATATATGACTCATCTAGGTATTGATTTGAGCGTTATAGGATCAGAAAACAGAAGAATAATTTATACCGGTATACCGGCCGGTCCGGTCCGGTCTGACCAGTTAGACCGGTACCGGTAAGGAAAAAACCCTACCGGTTACAACTCTGATCTAGTATGCATAAGTAACATTGACTTCCTTTATATTTATTGTAAGAAAGAACATTAGACAACAAATAAAAACGTTAACATTTCTTTGAATTTATTTTCCTATGTCAAAGCATAAATATTCAATCTCTCTACTTTTTATTCTCTGTGAGTCTAAAATCCGCCATAACTATTGTTTATCAGATCTAAATCTAAATTATGTAAAAGTTTGATTTCAGACCCACGCTTAAAAGTAGTTACACTCTAAAGTCAGATGATAGGTGTAACGGCAAACTGAAGGAGTAGTTTTATCGTCATCCTCGATCATGATGCTTATTGACTACTCCATATCTCCAGAATGTCTCTACTTCACAATACAACACACGCTTATGTATGAGAGAGAGAGAGATGAACACATGAAATAACAATAAAGATAGGATAAGGAGAATAGAAGAAACGAGGGTCATAGAAAGGTTAGGTCAGCAGAAAATGACATTGATATCGGCACAGTAAGGTCGAGGAATTTTAGAATATATTTATATATGACTAAGTTTAAACTGACTCAAGACGAATAATTCTTAGAATCTTACTGTCTTAGACTCTATGAATAGATGTCATCACTTCGAATGGAACTGAAAAAATTGGAATATTGACAAACATGACTAAGATTTGATTTGAACTATGCCTTCAAATTGTATTGTAACGAGTACATGAATCAAAGTTGCTTGTCAACATTTAGTATACACTCTTGAATTAGAAAAAATTAAAATAAATGATCGTGAATTTATTTACAAATGATACACAATAACAGAAAAAAACTTTTGCATCCGTCTTGTACAAAATGCATAGAAATAATAAAGAAAATAACGTGAATTTTGTCAATAGCTTAGTTCATATTAAGTGAGGCATTGAACTGAAGACATCCCAAGTCTGGTTGTTTAGTTCTTGGTCCGACTGACAGATTTATTCGTTTGCACGTATGCACTTTTTGTGCTGCAATTTCGTTGAATGATTTGACCCACATTTGCATTGACCCTATCCGTAAAGTAATGCAGATGTCGATATCGACCCATTGTAATGCCATTAAATTTTGTAACATTTGATCCCAAATGTTGATACATAGCCAGCCGAAAGTATGTCCAAAACCTTTAATTTTCAATGTAACCAACAAAGGTAGAGAAGATAAAAGATCGACAAGCAACTCTATGGGCCAATCATTGAAATCAAGATCGAGACAACGAACATGATATTGCGGTTTAATCTGTATAGGTACGCTGTTGTCTACTTTATAACAAAGTTGGTCAATTTGAGTACCATGAAAATCATCGGATACGTAAACAAGTTTGGTTGAAGGAAAGATCAATTTGACTGATGAGTGACGATAGAATGTATACGAACGTGAGTTTGCGCGTTTCAATAGAATGATTCGTCGGAGAGAAGGATGACATAATGAAGTTTCGATCATTTTATGACTGGTCGTAGTCAATTCTGAACCAACCAGTGACAGTTGAAAATTGATCAATTGAGACAGCTTGCAAATCTAAATAAACACAGCAATGGAAAAAAAAATAAAATGCTTTACCCAATTATAACATAACATTGTGTGTGTATGTGTAGAAATTTCTCTTTGTTATATATTTTGCTATAAAAAAAAGTTTTTTCATTTTTCTTTATTTTATGAGAAATAAAGATTTATATTTTTAGGCATTTCTGTGTTCCAGTTCATACATTTGTATTCAATTTCTTTGACTTCAGCATCAATTATTGACATTTTATCTCACCTGCTTAACCATATTGAGACATTCTTCTTCTCGTTCATTACCATGGACGATGGAAAGTGATTTAAGATTAGAGAATATGGTAATTCGAATAGCAATATGTTCGATTTGAAGTGAAATGATTTGATTGGGAAAATACCCTCCAAGGAAGGAAGGCATTTGACGATCAAAATACAGATGAAGTCGTCGACGTTGATCGAAAATACACGAAGTTATGAATGGACTGAGATTGAAGAATGATTGAAAAATTTCTTTTGTATTGAAATATTCAAAAAGCTCGAGAATCAGCTCACCCGACAAACATTCAAATGTCGAACAACGATCTTTATTGTAGAAATTCAGATAACAAGTTGATATTTAGACAAAACGAAATCAACTTACTTTGTTCACGAGTTATCTTGAATCGTTTTGATGGACGATGATCAATACTTTCTTCCATGTTTTCAAAATCAAAAGTGAAACAAATATAGTTACACGTCAAAAATATTGATGTGTACAGAAAGGACAAGTATCCTATCGCTTTTTATATTCATTCAATGACCGTGAACAATGGAACACATATTTTCTAGCTCTGTTCGTTTTCCTATTGGATAGTGAACTTTTCTATCCATTGAAACAAACGGAGAAAACAAGGTCAGGACAGTGAAAATAAAAGGTCATAAGGGGTTTGTTTCTTTGCACAAATATGATTCGACGAAGGATGTAGGTTACCAGAATATTCACAGATCACACCCATACCCATCTATACTGCATAAAAGATTTTATTTAATTAAAATAAGAATTAAATTGAGTCTATCAACATTTAGAATACAAATTATCATTGAAATTAATTTAATATTCAAGAAGAGACATTACTATTATATCTAAATGACAATTGCTTGTCAATAATGAATAAGGAAACGACATTGTATAGAACATCTCATATTTAGATTTATTAAACAACGAAAAGATCAAAACATAAAAGAAAAGAAGGAATGTGAATTTCGTGACTATGACTAACCACACATGAATAGTACAATATATTGAAATCAAACAGAAAAAGAAAGACAATAGAAATATAAAGGATATATAAATTGTTTTTGTTTTTGAAAGAATCATTTTCGTATATCCTTTATTCTTTGCTTTCTTCGATAATATGATATGACTAAAAAAAAATGCATATTTCATAAATAATAGCATTAACATCTAGAATCTAATTGAAATATTAAAATTTAAAAAAAAAATAACAGGCAAAAAGTTCATTTGAATTCAGTCAAACCAATTAAAATATTAAATATCCAACGTACTTATAGATTAGTTGAACTTGATTAGTATTGAAATATTTTAATCAATGCTTCTCGATTGATATATAAATCTAATTAAAATAAAAATAAAATTAATAACTGTGAAAATAAATTAATCATATTCAAGTGATATTGATTAAGATAGGGTGTATGGATGTGCAGGTTGCTGTCTTCTCTTCTTACATCCCCACCCACACTCGTACCCTTATTTAAATCATCCTAGTCACGTCAGTATAATTATCTTTGCTAATTGCGAACGACTTTTAACCAGAAGATCTTTGCTAAGTTTGATCAAAATGAGACATTTTTTCTTAACACTTTTTCTTTAATAACTTTTGATTTTATTTCTTCAATTGTTTCTTAAACATCGTCTTATAATGATGATCTAATGACTTCATTTGACAAGTTCGTCATATCGAATAACAATAACATAGACTGAAAAAAGTATCAATCTGATAAATGTCAATAGGATCTGAAGAAATTCAATGTCTCTGACACAATTATCAAAAAAAAAAAAACGTTAAAACATTGAATGACAATCATGAACATACTATGAGGATATTCAAAAATGGTATTGATCTTTCTTTTTAGTAGGAGTTTTGCTATAAGCAAAATAAATTTTTTGTTCTTCGATCGATCTTGATGATGTAGGAAAGAATTTATTATTAGATTTTATTAATTGATAAAAAAAAGAGGTACGAAAAAGAAATAACAGTTTATCAAAATTGACTTTAAACAATCACAAACACGAATTTGGATCAAAATTAAATTTTTGTACACAATGATTGCCTTTATCGACAACATAGACATTACTCTGCTGATCGAATGACAAACCTACAGGATAATGGAGTTGATTTGCTTGTCCTTCTCGTCTATTTCTACCGATAACGATACTACCTTGTGTAGCTCCTTTAGACCAACGCATCACTCGATGATTGTCACAATCTGTCACATAGACAGTGCCTAACTGATCGACAACTATGCCACGAGGATTGGACAATTGTGTCAGACTATTTCCTTGACCTTGATCACCAGCAACAATAATGCCTTCTCTTGCATCTTTCGCCCATTTTATCACACGATGATTATCTCTGTCCGATACGTATACTGAATGATCTTGATCGACAAAGATCTTGTAGGGCCCATTGAACTGATCGAGACGATCACCTTTTCCATTCCCACCTGCTATTATTGTTCCATTAGTATCTCCTATTTTCCATCGTCTCACTTCATGTTTACTGACGTCAGAAACATAGAGATATCCATCATTATCTATTGCCAAACCCCGGCAGTCAACATTTGAGATGATGATTTCTCCACTTGTACCATTTCGAAGAGGCCATCGCACTACTCGTTTATTGCCACTATCGCAGATAATAAGGGAATCATTTTCTTTGTCAACAATAACATCTAATGGATAGTTCAACTGATCATTTCTATTTCCTTGTCCACTTTCACCAGCAACCACTTGACCATTTGTTGCACCACTCTTCCATTTCACAATGCGATGATTGCATTGGTCTGCGATATAGATAGTTTGATCATCATCATCAATATATAAACCAAATGGAGAATTGAGTTGACTGACATCATTGCCATATCCATTTCCTCCAGCTATTGTGATACCATTCTGGATCCATTTCGCATTTGCACCAATATTCGGCATGGATAACAATACTAGAATGTAACGAAATTTTAAAACGAGAATAAATTCTTTTTGATTCAGATTGATATTATTACAAGAGAAAAAAAATCATTTTGAATAAACAATGAGTTTTATTTCTTAAAATTCGATAGAGAGAGAAATTATCTTCTCAAAACAATTTATCATGAAAACTTAATGTTTTACTTAATCGGGAGATTAATTTAGAAAATGTATTGATTTTGAAATACTGTTTGAATATAACAATTTCTTCAATTTGGCGTTCAAAAGTATCCAACATAATATCGTTTCTTTTTTTTCTATTATTCGAAGTAATTCGATTATTTATTTTCATTTTTTCATAGTTCAACTAATTCTTTTATGTTTATCGATAACCTAAATATACAATCGTCCTTTTTGCTTAAACTCATACAGTAATCTTTCCAATTTTTTGATTGAAAATATCGAACTAAAAGGCATAAATTCAATTGATATTCATATGATGATATTAAATATTTCAATGGATCATTGGGTAGTTGATCAAAATTAAATCTTTAATGTGATGATTATGCATATCTTAAAATGCATAGGTTAAATATTGTTTTGATGAAATATATACGTATTCAATGCATGTATGAGACTCAAAAATTTGTTCTATGATCATTTATTATACGAAAAAATAAGAAAAAATATTCTATTCTTCTACATTGAAACAAACAAAATTCGCAAAATCTTTATTGAACAACTGTGAAACTTTGTTGACATGAACTGTCTAATTAATCTTTTGAAAAAGAAAAACGAATTTTCTTTCCGAAAAAAATAACGCAATGCCATAGCCTTTTATTGAAGTAATAATCATTTCGAAAATGCAGTAAATTTAATTGAAATCATCGAATGTTAGTTCTATCTTTGAAAACTATTCTAAATTAGTTTTAATCAAAAATAAGATTTCTCTTGTTTGATAGACGCAGTAAATATAGGATAATATATATCACTTTGCTATAATGTAATGGATAAATTAAACAACTTAATCTCTTTTCAGTAAGACATAAATGATAGTAAGAGTATATAATAGAGAGAGACATTTCTTTACAAAGTAACTATTTCTATCTTGAAATGAACTATGACTGATACACTTACCCGATCTCACATCGACAGAAATTTTGTTAATATGTAATCTAGAATCTTCTCGAAGATGAATATTCGATGGTTTATTGAGTTCTTTCTCTAATTGCTTTAATTCTTCATTCCAATGATGTAGCTCTGTTTCATAAAAATCATTTTTTTCACGACTTTGTTTTAATTGATTAGTTAACTTATTTAGATCAATTTCGATTTTTGTAATATGTCCAATAGTATGTTGAAGTAAAATTTGTCTTGCTTCTTCTGCTGTTTGTCGAATTTTTTTGATTGACTGACGTTCCCAATCATTAATTTGTTGTATTAATGGATGTTTTTGTGGATCAATTGTTTGTTGAGTAAGTTTTTGTCGAAAAAGATTACGACTAACTTCAACTTTATCTAATTGTTTATTGAGTTCTTGTCGATGATCTGATGAATGATTATAACAAAATTCTTGTAAACATCCTGCACATCTCATTGTCGCCGTATTTTTTCTACATGTAATACAACATTTTTTATCGAGTGCTTTTGCCATGAGTTTGATACCTTTTTTTTGATGCGAGGTTTGATCAAATGAGATTGTGTGAGCGAAAAAGAAAAAAAAGTAGGTAGTCGTGTTTCACATTCTTGTGTAAATATAATGTCACAATGAAATGAGCCATTGTGAATAAAATTTCAACGTGAAAAAGCAACAGAAAAGATTTTTTTCTTATGAAATTAAAAAAAAGCATTTTCAATGTTGTTGGTAGTCAAGTTCATTTACTTCCATTTGATTTTTGTTCAATAGAAATTTAAATTTTGATAAATCTTGTCATAAAAAATACTGCCGTTGGTTAATATCAACTTCATCTAGCTTTTAATCACGAGGAACCATTCCCAGGTGTTCCGCTCCGAGAGTGTAGATGTGTGACTGTGGGTGTGGGTTTAGATTTTGCTGTTCACCCAGACTGATACTCACACCTACACCCTCAACTGGAAAAAGATCATCCTTACCATTCTTGGTCTACTACAACATATGTACGACTCGGAAAGATGCAATTGTCAGAAGATATACTATGACAACAAGGCTATATCTTACTGAAAATCGCAACTCTGTATCTTGAATTCACTGTAAGATATCTGAAAAACAAGGTTAATTGTCAGATGTATGATCAGTATCGAAAGCATCTATTGAATCTTATAAATTGAGGGAATTATGAAATTATCTGTCTCGAAGTACAAGACGTAAGCTTTGTCGAGAAAAGCGTGTGAGTGTGGATAACAGTGAACAGAAAAAGCGATCAAGAACAATTTTCAGTTGCCAAGTCGCTTTTGAATTGAGACTATGCACGTTATGTAGGCTCTAATGAGCTATGAATATCCTAAAAAAAAGTTCGTGCTTCTAGTTTATTT